CGACGGCTCCTCGGGCGGCTCGGCCCGGGCCCAGGCCGAGGACCCCGCCAGCTCGCCCACGTCCAAGCGCAAGCGGGTCAAGTTCACTACCTTCACCACGCTGCCCACGGAGGAGCTGGCCTATGACTCGGTGCCCGCCGGCGAAGAGGAGGAGGACGACGAAGAGGACCTGGGTTGGGGCTGCCCGGATGTGGCCAGCACCACGCGGCCTGCTGCACCCCCGAACTACATGCGCAGAAACAAAGAGATGGCGTAGAGGCGCCGTCCCCCGGGGGGTGGGCTCCGTGTGGGACAGGGCCAGGACCCCTGCTCGCCCGGGCTGCTGGCGGTGGACGTGGATGTTAAAGGCCCTGTCCCTGCAGCTTTGCTCTCTGCAGGCGCCGCCTCCCTCACCGGCCCCCACCCCAGCTGCCTCACAGGGTTCCCTCTCTGCTGCAGCAGGTGGAGGGCCCCTTTGGGAGCTCGCTAGGAGGAGGCAAGCCCCGCCCTCCTACCTTTTCCAAACCTCCTCCCATCCGAGACAGCCTGCCCCAGGAGGCCAGGAGGCCCCGCTCTGTGAGCCGCCCCTGCCTCCCACATCCCCGGGGTCCCCCCTGTGCTGGGGGGTTCTGTGGGGTCTTGTGTCACAAGCTGCACAAAGACTTTTCTCAAACCACTATTCAGGGATTTCTGTCCTGCAGGGCGGGGAGGCAGCAGCTGCCTGCCCTGCCGAGGATCTTGCTGTGGACAAAACTTTGGGGAGGTTGGGGGACACGTGTAGCATCTTCTGGCTTTCTGGGACCTCCCAGCCCCTTCCTAGGACCTGGGAGCAGACCCCAGAGGGGTCTGTGGCCAAGCCAGGCACCTTCCTAAGAGCCCAGGACTCCCTCCTCTGCCCCCAAGGGCTATAGAAGTGGCCGAAAGGGGGAGGAGTCTTCAGCCCACCCCTGGCCAAGCCACAGCCCAGAGCACCATGGTCTGGGTGGGCCCAGGAAGGCCTGCCCCACAGCAAGGCCAGCACTCCGCCTTAGCCCCTCCAGCTCTGCTGGCCTCTCCTCCCTGCTCTACAGGGGCGACCACCCATCCCCCCAGGAAATGGAATCCGGTGGGAATGGAGGGGGGCACCCACCGAGGAAGCTGTGAAGGACCTGGGGATGGGCAAGGCCGAGGGAGCGGGCGTCTCCCTACCCCATCTCACAGCCACTTTCCTCTCGGGTTCTACCACCACTGTGTCGGGTTTTTTCTTAAATAAATGGAGGCGACCAGATTGGAGGTGGGGGCAGCAGCTCCCAGAGTACAGACAGTGCATGGTGGCTGGCTCCGTGTCTCTGCTTTATGTGCACGCATGCACACTCACCCCCCACACACGTGTACACACACGCACACGTGGGCACAGTAAATGACGTGAGAGAGAAACACGGCTGAGCCCGCTGCCGTCCTGCTCTTCCCCCTCCAGCATCCAGGGCTCATGGACCTCAGTGCTGGCCCATTTCTTCCACAGCCCTCCCCTCAGAGGAGGCTCCTCCCGTCCTCGTCCCCATCCCCACCTCTCAGGGAGGCCTCCCTTCTCCATGGGTGGATGGGGAAAGCTTGGTGGTCTCCATGGCAGGAGCCAGGCCGGAGAGAGCCAAGGCTGTTGGGTATGTCCTTCCCACTGGGCCCTTGGCTGGCCCTGGGAGACGGCTCTCGGGCACAGGCAGCAGCCCCTGGGGGCAGAGGGGCGCCTGACCTGAGGAGCCTGGCCAGCCTCCAACAGCCTGGAGAGGTGGCTCAGCCACCACCTTGGAGAGGGGAGGAGGCACAGCAACCAGCATCTGGCAGAACGGACCAGGGGCAGGACAGGCTGCACTGGCACCTGGTCCAACCCCTGGGAAACACACCTGCCTCCCACAGGCCTCTGCTCCTCGGCAGGGGCAGCCCTGGGGGCACCGTGGGGATTGGGTACCTAAGCTCCCTGCACGGCCCCCAGCGGCAGCAAAGTTCCTGGCACAGACAACACATGGAGTTTGCCACCTTCAGGTTGACTTTTCCGGGAAGGTGCGGCCCTGAAGGAAGACTGGAGATGGGCCAGCTCTGCCCAAGATGGACTGGCAACAGGGAATGGGTATAGCTCAGTGGCACGAGGAAGCTACAGGGAAGCCGTGGCCAGGGCAGAACCCGGGGCAGAAGTACTGTCCTCGGGTTCCCAGAGCGCCAGACACCTGCTACTCAAATAACCCCGACAGTGACCTCCTAAAGGGGCCCCCTTAACCCTCGGTGCCTAGAATCAGCAAGTGTTCAACCAATGCTTGCTGACTAAAGTCCAAACCATAGATGGCTTCCTCACTGTTCTGCATTTGGGGATTTTCTATACCCTGCCATCTTACCACGTGATCAGTGCGGAAGGTCACAATTACAGAGAGAGATGGGGCATAGGTGTGAGTCAAGGAAGAGGGAATATTCTAACCAGGGTGTGTGCGCATGGGAGGGGGTGCTGGTACTAAAGTTGGAACACGGTTCCATTTGTTTATGCAACACAGAAAGCTCCTACTATGTGCTAGGCCCTGCTGGGGAGTATGGAAGGAGCCCCAGCTCTGCAGGGAAGATGGGCAAGTCAGCCGACCACAGCCACCTGGGACGATGAATGCTCTCCGTGCTGGCTTTGCCCTGGGTTGGTGGGGGACAGCGGGGAGAAGGAGACATTTTCAAACCGGATTTGCTGAGAACGGGGCCAAGGACATTCCAGGAAGGGAGGAGGGTGGGTGTGCAGGCCCAGAGGCTGCAGACCTGACACCCCATGCTTTCTCTCGCTTCCCTGTCTCCGCACGTGCTTGCCCCCTGCCTGGAGCAGGAGACCCTGGGGACAGGGAAATATGAGCACATCCGTGCAAAGGCATGGAGGCCAGAGGGAATGTATGTGTGCGGGGGAGGAGGGGGTGGTTAGCAAAGATTTGGGAGTCAGGCTCAGACCCGAGGTTCAGATCGTCTCCCTCTCCCTGGGGGAAGGAAGGAAGGATGGAAAGGGCAAGGGGCCCGTTAGGAAGACGCTGCAGCAGGAAGAGGAGGGCCAGCGCCGTGGGAACGGAGACCTGGTGCGTGGCTGGTTTTCAGCTGCAGACTTTGCCAACTGCTGATCCCCCAGGGGGACGACGGGGAGGAGACTTGAGCTGCTGCCTGGCAGAGACCTCCCCAATGAACCTGGGGGAACTGGCCCCTCCAGGGGAGACAGTGGACGCCGGCATGATGGTATCTGTCCGCATCCAGGTGTTCACACACAGGGACGTGAGGACCCAGAGAGGGTACCACTGGCCGGAAGTTCCACAGCCAACCTAGCGACGGGGCCCGCTGCCCGGCCTGTGATTTGTGTCCCCTTCTCGTCATTCCTCACTCCCTGCCCAGATGCCAGGGCTCAGAGGCAATTGCTGGAAACGGCAAGGCCTGACCCCCACGCAGTTCAGGAGGGAGCCGGCGTGGAGGCACGCGGCGGGACATTAAGTTAACAGCCCCTCTGGAATGGCCCTGGCACTGAACTCCTCTTTAAAAATTTGTCTTCAACCCTGAAAACGAATCGAGGGACCTTATAAAGAATAGTTATTGACAGAGAGCTGCTCTGGGAGCACCGGGAACCAGGCCCAGGAATCAGCTTGCTGGTAAAATGAGCCTCCTCAGACAGCCAGGGCCGGCGAAGGCAGAGCCGGAGATGCGGACAATGGGCCGTGAGCCTGCACCAGCCCCCTGCACCAGCCTCCCCACGCCAGCCCCGGACGCACCCCCATGCCCGTCCTCAACAGATAATGGACAAGCACCTCCGATCTGCTCCCTGGAGAGAAGGCTTCTGCTCAGGGAGCCAAGTGGAGAAAATACACTGAATGGGCCAGAGAAGGAACCTCACTGGCGGTGATGACAGTTCCGAAGCTGGGAGCAGGGGCTCCCGGGATCTGACTGTGCCTTTGCTGCGGGACCTTCTGCCAGTGCACCCCCAGCTCTGGACGCTCGTTGCTGCTTCTTACAAACAGGCAAGTCACCAGGACAAGGCGTGTCCACTGAGACAACGGAGAGGCCCCGCTGTTTCAGCACCTGTATCGCTAACGAGCGCCTAGAGAGAGAGAGAGAGAGGCATCACTACTCCCGTCTTACAGATGAGAAGTCGGGAGCACAGAAAGGGCAAGTAGCGTGCCCGTGGTCTCCAGCTTAGCCGTGACCCGGGAGGCAGCTACCAGCCTACCCTCTCTCTGCTGCATCCTGAAGCCCCACTGACGATTGAAAGGGGATGAGGTTGGAGAGATTCAGAGATGGGAGAGGTAGGGAGGGGGTCTCTAAAGACTTGATGCCCTCAGTAATGGGGACCCCCACTTAAGATTTAATTCATGGTCAGTGTTGGGGGCAGGAGGAGTACCACAAGCCCTAAGGCCTCTCTGCCAGTGTTAGATGGACTGTGCTCCCTCCCCTCCTGGGAGCTCCATCCCCAGCTAAGTGTCTCCACAGCCAGTCATCCAACGCTCTCTTAGTCACGCCTTCACACAGAGGACCACAGGGCTTTCCTGAACAAGGTGCTGAGCTGGGCTTGTAAGGAGAGCTGGCAGCACAAGCAGAGATGCCCACTGAAGGGGGGTGGGTATGAACCAACACCTGTGCTCTCCTTTGGGACACTGGTTGCCCCTTCTGTCGCAAGAGACACTGGGAAGCTGGGCCATCCCTATGCCCACACTCCTGCCACAGTAGCCTGTCCAGTGTCATCAGATCCTTGCCATTAATCTGACCAAGGAAGTAGGGGTATGAAATAACAATCACTAACCTTTTCTGAGAGCCCATGACACTCTAATAATCACTTTAGATCCATCACGTCATTGCTTCTTCAGGGGAACCAAGTAAGGTGGGTGCTATTATTAAACCCATTTCACAGATGACAAAACTGGGGCTCAGGGCAGTTATATGACTTTTCTCATGCCACACAGCACATTTAAATAGCAGAGCCAGGGTTCAAACCCAGGTTACCTTGGCTCCAATTTCCTCATCTTCACACTGCCTTCCCTGGTGGGGATCTGGAGTTCAGAGAATTATTCTAATGCCACGGCAGGAGTACAAGTGGGAGTCCAGGGGCTGGTGGGAGGTCTCACTCTGTCCTTGCCTGGTCACCTGGCCATGAGGCCGGCCCTGCCTATGTCTGGAACAAGTCAAGACCCTCCACTGGATTCCAGGGCCCAGATGGTCCCTTTAGTGCCTTCAGACGTGATGGTTCTCAGGTCTCAAGGTGTGAAGCCCTGGGCACCACCCAGCCCTGCCAGTTCACACCTCCCGCCCTCCACCCTCCACCTCCTAGAGAGATGGGCGCTGTGGGGTGAGAGGCGCGGGTCAGAGACCTCCAAGCTTTGCCAGTCTGCCATCCTGTACTTCATGCCACCCTGGGCAGCCGTTCCCAGGAGTTGGCGATTCTCCATGTTGGGGGGTTGGGGGGAGTACAGTAAAGGTGCGAAGGAGGATGGGAATGATAACTCCCCAGGTGTGCCAGAGTGGCCGTGAGGAACCCGCCCTGCCAGTTCCCAGTCTGAGGGGGAAACCACCACTCAGTTTGATGAGGGAGCTGATCACACCCTGAAGGAACAAATCATCCATCAGAGACACATGCAAACAGGTGACCAGGAGGGCACAGTGACCTATGCACGCACTTAGCCCACAGAGCAGCGGAAATAAAGGAAACGTGGAAGCCGGGCAGTTAATCCAGAAAGGCAGCCTGGAGGAAGGTTGTGGGAGGCAGCGAGGGGCGGCAGCGAGGGGTCTGCAGATGGCTGGGAAGTCAGAAATAACTACTTGAGGATTAGGAGGTGGGATGGACTGATCCTGGCTAAGGAGAGGAGGAGTGGGGGAGGGGAGGAGGCGACCCTCTCTCAGGTGACCCCAGAGAAGCCCCAGGCTGCTGGGGAGACCACTGCTATTGTCCAGGTTTGGGAGGGGCCTGAGAGGGGTCCCAACCCTTTACACTTCTCAGGAATATAGAGGAGCCTGGTGCACAGTGGGGCAGCCTGGACTGGGCACAGGGGCTTGGCTTCCAGTCCCCTGGGCACTGCCACTCACATTGTGGCCTGGCATGAGTCTCTAGCCCTCCTCTGCGAGACCAGGGGTCTGGAGGATGTGGCCTTAGTGCACACCCCAGACTGACCTGTGTCCTGGCCGGCAGCCCTGGGGTGACCTCCCACTGGTGGGTCCAAGCAAAAGCGTCCTGCTGCCTGGCAACCCCTTTCCTGAGTGGGGCTGGGACGCAGAGTGGGCCTCAGCCCCTCGTGGTGCTCCCAGCCCTGTGCACCTGCAGCTGCAGGGCCCCCGAGG